TGCAGCCTCTAAAGTGGGCTCATCTTCTTCTGGGTCAAAATCTGGATTGTCGCTTGGTGGAAGAGCCCGGAAGATGTTGGTGCTAATCTGCATGAAAAACAATAAAATAAATTGGGAAACCATTTTTTAAATCACTTTGCAGTCTATCCTGAGAAAAGTAGCAGTGTTATTTTAAACTTTTAGAGTAGATCTTTCTTTATGCGCCATGTATCCTCCCCAGTGTACACATCTGAGCCCAGTAAGGGATGTTTTTGTTCCATTTGTTTCACTGGCTCTGTAATTACCCTGCAGCCATAATGCCCACCTCTAATGGAGATTTTCTACAGATATTCAAACTCTGTTTCTACAGCAGTGATGCCTACCAGCCCTGCTACACCAGACACTATGTTTATAAACCGCATACTATACCGTAGCGTGGTGAGGTTCTAAATGAATTTGCTTACAGTCCATTTGCATGTGTCAAACATCTGACACAGATGGTACTTGTGATGTTTGTCTAAAAACTGGTACAAAAACTACAGTCCCCTAAATTTCAATTGGATTTGTTATGACATCAAATACAAAGTAATTCATAATAGTGAAGTTTGAAGACTAGTTTATGGTTTCCTACATAAATGCAAAATGTAAGCAGGTAGCCTTCATTAAAATCCAGGCTGCAGAAATGTGTGATTATGCCAAAAATCAAAAATTATGCCCCCCCCCCAAACAAACAAACTTAGAATTTCATTTTGATTTATCCTCTGAAAGCACGTTTTCGGCTTCTGAGATTCATTATTTCCGTGGTCTTAAATGGATTCTTGTCTGCAGTGCATTATGAGAGACTTTACTGCTGAGTAGAGAAATTCTTTTTCAACTTGCATGCATGGTTTTCCATGTTAGCTGCTACTCTCCCCTCCCCTTTCATGTGGTGGCAAACCCACTTTAAGAGCTTTACCACCATCTAAAAGGCTGGACTGAGAAGGCAGTGTGTTACACTAATTAAATGTAATGTGACTAAAAATCCAGTGTGTATGCAATAAGTACATTGTGCTTTTAGAATCTGTGACTTTAATGCAAATGCTTTAACGCGCGCCCTATCCTTTATCTAGGTCTTATAACCCCTACCATCAAAGAATATGTGGGCTACTTGCAATTATTATTTGTTTATAACTCTTAATAACAGTTTTTTGCTATTATGATTGTCGTTTCTGTAACTGCAATCAAAAAAACAGCTGACAGCTTCATTAATCTCCATGGCAACAAATAGCTATGTGAATAAAAATAATTTTTAGAGGCATTTAAAAAAACAAAAAAACATTCAACTTATAAACTAATAAATAGAATACTATAGAAACAGCTAGCAATGAAACATTTTTACTAAGCATCTAAAATCTCCTGTATTTCCAAGGCGATAGAAAAACTCTGCTTCTATCAACAGTTTCTTTAAGTCGTTGCTTAATTTATATAGGTCAATTGTTCTCATACCTTTTATTATTCACTTCTATTCCCTTTTTAGTAATATTACTAGTTTAAGCATTTCCAACATTCTGCAGTATAAAGTAGAAAGCTTTTATGATTACTACTAATATTGTATCGGGTCAATATCGGTCTTTATGTAATTAAACAACTGATTGAATACACCATATAATTAATCCTAAAAAGTGTTCCAAGGAAGGGGGTGTAAATCAGAAGGTTTAGACTCAATTTTAAAAGAAATAAATTAAAACCATTGAAAGCTAGTCAGAGGACTGCCTCTTGTGTTGCCCCCGTTTTCCTCACTGTAGACTCCAGAGAAATTGCATTTAGCTGTGGAGTTGAAATGACAGCGATTCATGGTGAGATACATACAGGGGCTGGGATGGATACCTGCCATTAAAATACTTCTATGCAAGAACCTGAAACTTTATATGGCACCAGTGGTGATTTCTCATTGAATACCACGGGGTTAAAATATCCCTGTAAATTTAATTAAATTATTGGTGAAATAAATCTAGTCATTAAACTTCATTAAATATGCGTCTGATTTAATCAGTATTTGGGCATTAATCAGCTGTTTATTCTGCTCTCAGGTGTGATCTCCGCTCTGCCTTGGAGCAGTCCTGTGAGCTTTGAGCCTCGGTCTATTGAGGTAAGCAGTTAGAAAGTAGAGAACGATTGGATAACAGGCCAAAATACATCACTTCCAGTGATGCCCAGCCTCTTAGGGGGTCTATGGAGAACGGGTGGGTCCTGAAGTTGGCTGCTCGATGCTGATTGGCCAACATACTTAAGGATATTTCACTGACAGTGGCCAGACAGAGAGGAGGCTTTCACTCATGAGTCGAGAGCAAAAGTGTTAATTCAGTCAGAAGAGTCATCTTGTGCTGAACTCCTGCTGTGGTTTCTGGAGTTTAATATATCAGAGCGCTTCACAACAGCTATTTTCACCAGTTATAGTGATGCAATTCCACATTTTTATACAATACATGACTCAGTTTCAGATATGCAGCAGCTGCCACTGCCTGGCACCGTTTTTGAAGCTTCCTGCCCCCACCAGCTTCTCATCGTCCTCTTTTCCCTCATTTGTCGCTTCCTTGTCCTTCTCACTTCTAACACTGTNTTTTTGCTATTATGATTGTCGTTTCTGTAACTGCAATCAAAAAAATCCTTTAAAAAAACCGCATGACTGACAGCTTCATTAATCTCCATGGCAACAAATAGCCATGTGAATAGAAATCATTTTTAGAGGCATTTAAAAAAAACAAAAAAACATTCAACTTATAAACTAATAAATAGGATACTATAGAAACAGCTAGCAATGAAACATTTTTACTAAGCATCTAAAATCTCCGGTATTTTCAAGCCGATAGAAACACTCTGCTTCTATCAACAGTTTCTGTAAGTCGTTGCTTAATTTACATAGGTCAATTGTTTTCATACCTTTTATTGTTCACTTCCATTCCCTTTTTAGTAATATTACTAGTTTAAGCCATTTCCAACATTCTGTAGTATAAAGTAGAAAGCTTTTATGATTACTACTAAGAACCTGCAACTTTATATGGCACCAGTGGTGATTTCTCATTGAATACCAGGGAGGTTAAAATATCCCTGTAAATTTAATTAAATTATTGGTGAAATAAATCTAGTCATTAAACTTCATTAAATATGCGCCTGATTTAATCAGTATTTGGGCATTAATCAGCTGTTTATTCTGCTCTCGGATGTGATCTCTGCTCTGCCTTGGAGCAGCAGGACGCTGCCTGTCAGCCTCTATGAGGAAGTCCTGTGAGCTTTGAGCCTCAGTTTATTGAGGTAGGCAGTGAGAAAGTAGAGCCCCGATTGGATAACAGGCCAAAATACATCACTTCCAGTGATGCTCAGCCTCTTAGAGGGTCTATGGAGAAGGGGTGGGTCCTGAAGTTGGCTGCTCAATGCTGATTGGCCAACATACTTAAGGAAATTTCACTGACAGTGGCCAGACAGAGAGGAGGCTTTCACTCATGAGTCGAGAGCAAAAGTGTTAATTCAGTAAGAAGAGTCATCTTGTGCTGAACTCCTGCTGTGGTTTCTGGAGTTTAATATATCAGAGCGCTTCACAACAGCTATTTTCACCAGTTGTAGTGATGCATATTCACATTTTTATACAATGCGTGACTCAGTTTCATATA